TGAATTTTACTGAAAAACAATGATTAAAAGCACAGAATATGTCTTTTTCTTTTTTCAAGGACTCTTTAGCAATTGGAGTTATCAAACTTTGGCTGCCACTCGCTTTTTATCACCACTGAAAACCAGGCGACCTCAACCCCTTCAATCGCAAATATCTTGAGTTCTATTCAAGATAGATAAATATTTATTTCATCAGAAGCAAGGCAAATGAAACAGACTTTCAGATGATATAAAAAACTCCACATGCCCAAAAATTGACGAGCGCCTGATACAACCACGTCGTGACACATTTCTTTTGACCTGGAGACGGCCTGGCGACCTTCTAGATTCGAAGCGGAAGAGCGCAATTTCAAAACAAGTCAAATATAGCCATGATGTCATTTCATGAAGAAAACTGCACCAACCAACAACATTATACAGTATTCCAAGAAACGAATGGGGGAATGCTTCACTTTAGGAAGAATGATACTATTCCAAGTGTCTTTGGGTGCATTATTGCATGTCTAACCGCAAACGTTACGAAAATATGTCGATGTACTCTATTATAATATGAGACACTGTGCTACCCAGCTGGTATTAGAAGCGTTAATTATGTTGATACATGTTTATACGCGCTAAATTTCCATAAGAAAAGCACACAACACCCAACATTTGTACGAGAAATGTATAACTTTAACACATCGGAAATAAAAAGGCATGTCCACGTTTGTAGGCCTATCTACTAGATTCTAGATCCACAATTGCACACAGTATACGCGATGGAAATACTATTATGTGAAATTCTGTACGGAAAACAAAAGTATTGGTGCGTTCCGGAGCGTACCCCTGCATGAAGCGAGGGGAGAAGTTATCACTCAGCTGAGTACGTCTGGAAATTAGAGCTGGAAGAAGAATCGATTCCGGAACCGATTCCCACGATTGATGTTACAGAAGAAAGGTTCCGACTCCTTTTTACGTAAACCAACGGCTACCAGTTACTTTAATCATTAAAATCTTCTCCTATTTTTAAAGAATTTCTTTTTGAAAAATAAAAGTCGATGCTTTGTAGCGTTCCGAAATCAAGGTTATCCTAAATCCTGAAGATGTTCAGAACCAGCCAGGTAACCACCGGAAGAAATCACATCTTTAGAAAGTAGGTAATTGGGCTCGGAGTCAATTCCTACGATTCCTAACTTTCAGTAATCGAGAACCTAGCTGCCTAGCACTGCTGGAAATACTGCAGTCAGGAAAGGGAAGCGGAAAGACGCATCCAGCAGACGAGGAGAGAGGGAGGCTAGCACTAGCAGAATTGACGCGCCGCGGGCTGCAGACGACTCGGCCGACGCCATTATTATTGTTGTCATTTCTCGACCTCAGAATTACAAAGCTCTATCTGACATGTTCGGCCGTTCTCAGTTACTAAGACAACGAGGCCAGAAACCAATGTTCTATCCGCTCTATCAAAATCGTAAGACTATTCGAATAATAGACAGCGTAAATAGTAAAATTAGTTTCAACTCAGCCAACTGAAAATAAATAGCACATGATATATTATATTATATATTGTTGATCTTTGTTCCACATTTTTGTGAAGTGTGGGGGTGGTGTTATATTTTAGGAAAAATACAGGGGTGGGGAT